GCGTCCCAATGCGAATACATTATCAAGCTGCAGAAGCCAGCCATCAGAGGTAGGGAGTGCAAGTAATCGTAACCTGATGGCTGGACAGCCATAGCAACCTTGATCACGAAAACTGCCTTCACCTGAATGGAAATCTGGAGTGCCCTGGGTTCTTCTTATACACCAAAGATAAGTTGACCCTAACAAGGCCGTCCCACTTGTACAACGTAAACTTACCAAGGTTTCATTGGGAAACTTGACTCGTGAGAACTTGCTTTGGCTATTTTAAATGACTCTTTGGGCCTCCAACTTGGCACGCACCAAGAAACTTAACAGGTCGAGGAGGGATTTTGAAGGATTTTCCAGGATTTGCGTGGCCTGACAGCCCTCAAGAACGACGGCAGATGAAAACTGTGCCACGGACACCATAGAGTTCCTGCTGTGTGGATGATGGGGAAGCTGGTTGACGATCTTCGCATCGGCGGCGCAAGGTCCAGAAGAAGAAAAAAAACAAGAAAAGTAACACAACAAAAATGACACAATACTTTAATTAAGAACAACGAGAACACAAAAACATAAGACAAAACCAAAACACAAAAACACACAAGAACGAGAAGAACACAACAACAAGACACAAATTAAGCGTGTCTGTAGAACGATGCTAATAATTACAAGTAGAAGCCCAGAAAAGAGTGGCACCTACAAGATCTTTGAGGCTCATGAGGCCTCAAAACTGTGCCACCCCGAGCATGTCATCCACTATACCCCTGCGGTATAGATCTATAAAGGTCCCCAAATAGATAGAAACGGTTTCCAATACATTTTTAGTGGGAATGTACTTTTCTATGTAGTTGGGGGCCTAGTCTATGGACTACCTGCTGACCGAATATTGCACTGGCAGGCCATGGAGGATGCTCCTGGCGCTGATGCCTTGGCGAAAGCCAAGAAGTTCGACTTGGAGGTGCAATACTTCGGCCGACCAAGTGGCATTTTTGGAGGGAGATGTTGATTGCAGCAGTTTGCCGCAGGCCCTCAGGGTAAAAGAAGTATATATGTTTAAGATTCAGATTGTTCCGGGGAAACTCCGATTTTGAAGACGGGGAAGTAGGCGATCTGTAGATTTTGTCCCTCGAGAATGACATGTTTCTTCCATCCTATCGAGGTAGCTGCGCAGGTAAACTGTGCCACCCAGCCAGGATCTGGCACTTCGCGTGATCCGTTTGTGGTGATGTGTGGTATTTAGGACTTGCAAGTCGGTGACGGACGCAGCTTCCAAAACGTCCTGGGTCTTCGCGGTCGCGCTTTTGATGCCACGGGGACAGCGCCTTTTTTCCGCCCTGGAGGCCATCATCAAACAGCGCGTTTGGGATGAAGCCTTCGATGATGTGGCCACTTGGAAGAGGTGTTTGGCGGGTCGTCTTGCTTGCCTCGCTTGCTATTTGCTCTCATGTAAAAAGATATTTCATTTTTCCCCTTGTCGGTGCAAACACGCAAGGCAAACACTGAGCCTTGCAAGAACAGCACGACTGCACTTCTCCACTATGTGCCTGACGCAACTCACCAACGCTCTCTTTTATCCCTAGAGCTCCAAGTACCTTCTAAGAAGGTGTTTGGGGTGGGTTTGGAGGGTCCAAATACCTTCTGAGGAGGTACGACTGGAGCCCCCAGCCTCCCTTTCTCAGGTTCGGAAAGCTCAGTTGCCGCCCTCCCAACGGGCGCAGACGGGGGAAGAGGCACCCTGCGGATGGGGAGCGGTAGAGGATGAGGAAGGAATGATTGCATGTGAGCTTCACAAGGTTTTCCACCCCCATTGTTGCACCAAGTGGTAGGCTTCACAGCCATTCCTGTCAAGTTGTTGGCCTTATGCTATCGTGCCCCCTTCAGCAGCAAGATTCAACGAACAATTGGTTTGTTATGGGAAATGACCGACACAGCCGTGGATGCAACATGAATTTTGTTCGGCATTAGCAACATAGACATCATACCTGAAGTTAGTTATATATACAGAATCCACTTGTGAACTTGTGAATGACAGAATCCACTTACCACTGGTACCGGGAGTTCACTCGTTTCGCAACGGCCGAAGAGAGCCTCGGCGTGAGGACGGTTGTTAGACAGCGGCACCGAACTAGATGGACATGTGATCAGGTGAATACCCTCAAACATTATGTATATATATTATTTAGATAGATAATGTATAGTCTATAGAACTTATAGAACATAGAAATTATGAAAGTCGGTATAGAACATAGAACATAGAACATAGATATATTATTTAGATAGTCGGTATAGAACTTATAGAACATAGAAATTATGGAACCATTTCATTTCTGACTGCTCTTCTCTGGGGCCTGGACATGGTCCGGAACCTTGTCTCGTGAAGCTTCGCTCACCTTCGCTCACCGTCCGTCGGAACGAAACCCGTTTCGCAGGAGGCCGTGGAGACGTTGAACTTCGAGAAGAGCCGTGTGGGCTTGGGCGACATCTACGCCAAGCAGTATGAGGCGCGGAACCATCTGCTCCAGCACTGCGCGGGCGAACTGCGCGCGCGAACTGCGCGGCACACGAGAAGCAGATGGATGGCGGGACAGTGGAAATGGTGTGTTTGGCATCGAAGGGAGCGAGATAAATAACACATCAAAAAACATTCTGGTGGTTTTGTACCAAGTAGAAGTTCATGGGTTTGTCGTAGGTAGTGTGCCTAAACGGATGGACTTGGAAGAAACTGAGGAACACTAAGGGACCAGTAGGTTTTTTGTGTTTGGTCTCTTCTTTTTGCAGATGTTCTGGACAAAGCTGCTGCTTGGGAACAGTATCAGCTTGCTCCTTCCATGTCATCCTTCTCGTGGGAAGCCTCGTAGCCTACGTTCAACGTAGGCAGGTCGTGAGCGTAGATCCGCGGGACCTGTCGACGAACATGTGGTCCATGGCGGTTCCACCGGACGGACCAGGGGTGGTTGACTCCATAAGCCCCTATTCATAGCGTCCGAACGCTTCATTCGTAGCGATGCCAGGAGCCCCTAGCTATAGCGTCCGAACGCTCCTGAAGTGTTTTTGTTGGATGGACTTGTTGTTTCTTCCTTCATGCTCACCGTCTGGCCCTCTTTGCTTACTGATCAACTTGCCCTTATAGTTGTGTAGGTGCAATCTATAGGCTTCCGTTCGACGATTGAAGAAAGGTTGAGCTGGTGTTGTAGTGTAAAATCCTTAGTAAAACATAGTTCAACAACGGTTGTTTGGTTAAGCACGGTAAAGCCTGTTAATGGTGGTTGGAATCTTAAAAGGGTGCACATATATGATATATGATTTGTCAATTCAGCTGATGAACCTGCGAAGATCTCAATTTTCAAAGCAGGGTCAACCCATGATTTGTCCTTATCGCGGAATCCTTACTTGGCATTGGGTGTAGCTGACAGGTGCGAGCTGAAAGGAATGAGGGAATCTCAGGATAGATAGTAGTTTACCTCTTGTGGACTACTACTCCCACGTCCTTGAGGTGAGCACCCGCAGAGATCACCCGGGCACCACTCCTTCTTCGCTCCAGTTTCACCTCAGGCAGAGATGCTCGGCCACCAAACCGACGCGGAGAAAGCGGAAGATAAGGACCGGGACCGCGACGGAAAACCAAAAAACACCGACGCACCGATGGATCGTCGAGAGCTTCGCAGGTGAAGTGGTGTCGTTGGGCCGTCCGCTGGGTCATTGGGCCGTCGGGCCGTTGTGGGGTGTTTCCAAAGTGACTCAAGGAGCTTTCCTACTAGACGAAGTGTGCTGAATTTGTTTGGAATGGTTGTGGTGGCTAGGCACCTTGTGTGTGCTGAAAGCATAATATGCTATGCCGTTCTGCTGTCTTGCAGTGGACGCAGCGGATGGTGCTGTCAGAGCGCTTGTGCTTCTGAAGTGGTGCTGCCTGGTAGTTCAGGCCAATCCTGGTGGATTAGGGTCGTGCATTGCAAAAAAAACATCAAGATCAAGGATGTCGTTCAGCTTCCAAGATCAGCAGTTGTGTTTTTTTCATTATTGTTCACGGGTACTGAATCGCAAATCCAAACAACTACCGCATTTAGTTGTGCCGTCGAAAAGAGAAACATTCCAAGGCTATCCACAGGAGCAAGTGAAGAGGTGTTCTCAAAAGATGCAACACACTTGTATTGTTCTACCAAAACCGAAGAAACTCAATATAAGTATATATCATGGTATCCCCTGTCTAAAGATTTATGACCTTCACTCACACAGTGTCTCGCCAAGAAACAAAAATGAAAGAGGTCGCTAGAAGACCGGTTTCAGGAGAAAGCGGAGCTCAAAGAGCTTTTCGCCAGAGTCATGCCCGGCGGCCTACACAAAGGGCTAGCCATGTAGCCCTCGCGTTCAAGGGTGTTGCTTGAATTGATGAAATGGGCAGAAAAAAATTGGCAAAGTTCTCCCAAGCGATTCACTGTGTTGACTTCAAAGGGTCTTTGCCGCCGATTCACCTCTTCACCTCCAACACCATCTCCCTTCACCTTTGAGAGCTCCTACTTCCTCCCTTCACGTCACGTTTTGGTCGAAACCTCCCGCCCGCTTCGGCGGGCCGGACTCGAAGGTTGCAGTCGATTTGACCCACATAGGACCGGTAGACCGGGGTTCTTCAAAAGCACCCGAACATGGCAACATGCTGCGTCGTGTTGAAATGAATAATGGGAAGATGCCATGGAAAACATGCTTCAAGAGTTCTTGTGATAGAATAGGAACAGTGTCCAAAGCCAAAGATCCACAAACCCATGTGGCCAATACAAGAACTATAACCTCATGGCCCTCAAAGAACATGTTGTGATTTTGTGATCCTGTTTAGTGCGACTTTGGTACCACATTTCAACTTGATTCCAAATTCAGTTGTATTGGTTGTTCCCCCTTTTTGTATGATTTTTCCATATATATCTCTACCATCGGGGCGGCGGTCAATGTACGCATATCGGGTCGTGGAGCTCGACGGGTCGTGGACGAAGTGAATGCCGCGGGATGATCACGCTCTCCAGACCGTCCAGCCGAGGTTTAAGTTGGATCAGCTCTCCAATGCGCACTTCACGCTCGTGTCCTCAGCTGATGGAAGCTCGTGTCCTTCAATTGGATTCTCTATATAGGTCCAGAGATCCATTTCCTCCCCAATCAACAGTAGGACAAAGTCATAGTCTATGACAACAATATGTAACACATGTTTACATGTTTGGAGATCAACCATGTTCCATGTTCCGCCCATGTTCTGGGCCATTGGGGGTCGCTTCCATGTAGTGTGCCTTCTTCTTGGGACGGATGGGCTCAGAGAAGTGCCAGGAGGGATGGACTTTCATCGGTTTCTGGCGAAGATCAACTTCAAAACCGAGGATGTGCATGACATACTTCGACCAAAATAGACTCCGAAATAGATAGATCCCCACTAAGAACGTAGTGGAATTCGCGTTTCTATTGGAGGACTACTAAAAAAGATTCTTTTCCGCTGACCATTCTTGCATGGGTTCATGCAAGACCAAGCATGATGGATCATCGATGGGCTCAATAGACCAACAGACCTGCAGTCTTTGTGTTGATGTTGCATCGGCTGTCAGTCATCCTCCGGTCAAACCAAGCAGACGCCTTGTTGAGCGCTCCAAAGACTTTGTGTGCACTCCCAAGCCCTGGAAGGACACACCCTTTGAGAAGATGGCTGCACCTATGCGTTGAATTTGGGGCTAGATACTCCCACAAGGAAACATATTCCTGCAAGTGGAACCGACTGGTTGCATTTGTAGGTCGAGTCCTGCTGCTACTGTTCGTGAATCTTGCACGAACAGACTTCGATCTAAGTAGATCTTGAATGTCCATGGAAGACCTCTTGTCTCGATAGAATGGTACCAAAGAGACAATGCAGACCATCCAGACGCAGAGGGTCTTAGACGGTCCAGGACCCTGCTTTTCTGGGATGTTCAAACCCCTTCGCCCAGGTGGACCATTCTATGCCTAAAAGCTGAGTGACCCCTATGATTTGATCACACAATCACACACCACCCCAAGGTCTTTTTGAACATGGAGGGTCATGTCAGGGATCTACCCTCCTGCAGAGGACCACATGGACCCTGAAAACCACTGCAGCTGGGTGGAACGACGAGAGACCGGACGATCCACGAGATCGCCCTCCGAAAGGGGGGTAGCTTTGGTCGGGCCGGTCATCGCAAAAAGAGGTGGGTGGGGAAGCCATTCTTTTCGGGGGGTTGGATGAGAATGATTGATGGTCACTGTTTGCTTTGGAACAGTTCGTCTCATTGGACTTGGTGGAATCATCATGGACAGTGGTTTCAGATACACTCCCTGGGACAAGTCATGGACATGGATGGCAATGGTCCCGGGTTCCGGATGGCCCAGTGTCCGAAGACCGAACAGGTGGGTTCTTGGGTGTTCTCCACTCGAAATAGTCAAGCGGAGCTCACCACCTGTTTGGTATTCGGAAGACTCATGATCACTCTTTCCGGGGCCATGCCATTGCCATGATTCCGGGGAGTATATATGAGTCTATATGGGGTGTAACTATATTTATGTTCCACCTTTGCTTGGGAGGATTGAACCCACTTACGAATCTATTTTTTGTTCATGAGTTGAAACCACCACCCAGTTCTTGTTTTTTGGTGGATTCCCTTTTGGAAGAAAACTGTTTGGACCCCCCACACCCACCGCGCCCCGCATTTCGCAGACCACGGCCACCGCTGCTGGGGGCGGCGGCGGCTCATGCGGCAAAGGTGCCCTCGTTGAAGATGGAGGCACACGTACAACGTCGGGATAGGGTTCTGTGTTATGGTTGGGCGCCCGTACAGCACCTGTGGAGGTGTGGTCGAGAACAGGGAGAGAACTCATGGCACCCTTTACAGTGTCATGACGGACAACAGCAAAATGAGCAAATGAGCAAACACCAATTGCCAACATTCCTGCAATGTATTTTACCTGACCCAGGACATCCAAGGACTGAGTTGATACATATATAAATGAAAAGCTCGAAACTTGCTGAGATTCAGATTCTTTGCGTCACGTGTTTGACATACCTCAAGCAAGGACCTTGTTTCTTGCAAGTTGTGTTCGCAGAGGTTTATCGCCGGGACGGCGACGGTCGAGGGAGCCGAGAGCCGAGGAATACTCGGTGCACCGGGTTCAGAAATCACCAGCTGCTCACAGCTCTAACAGTCGGTCGACATCACTTAGAAGGAAATACTTGAAGGGTGGGTTGCTCTCAACAGTGAGAAGCTTGCCGACCAAAACCTGTCCTCTTTGGAAAAAAATATGTGGATGCCGGGTTTGCTACTGCGGCACTTTCACGATCGAGAGAAGAAAACCAACAAATACACTCAGAACTGGCCTGGGCCTGTGAGAAGGGCTGACCATTCAGATGGCCGATCTAACTTTGAAATAGATAAATGATGGTAAAGTCATGAATGGCGAGGTATACACCCACCAAACGAGAGAACACAACCAAGTGTTCTTCGACTGCTGGAAGTCATGAACATCCCCTTAATGTTCGATCCCAAGTTTGCACATCTGCCTGGTGGCTTCCGTTGACGGCTGCCCTCCCCGCACGGGGCCCTGCTCTTCCTGCTCGCAGGAGACCATCCCCTTGATGGTCTCGGATGCACAACTCCAAGCGCCGCACGGCAGAATTTGCATGGCAGGACCGGTGCTTGCTATCACCCTGCGGTGGACCATGAGGTCGATAGTGAGGCGGTTGAGGTGGGTGGTTGAAAAGGTAGCAGGCCGATGGACAGGATGTCCTTGATTGCGAGCACACATTCTCCCTCACATGGCTCAGATGAGGACGGTTTGGAGCATCCTGTTTTTATCTTGACCTGGTGGCGCGGGTAAATTGTGAGGAGTTAGAAAACTGGAAGGGAAGGGATTTCCAGGCGCAGAATTTGAAGGAGAAACTCTGTGCGGTTCATCTTCCAATGAAGCAGGTTTATTAGGACTCAGGACGTTCAAGAGAGGGTTTGCCAGCGAAGCCTTTTCGTAGAAAAAGACCTGACAAAAAACATGGTGGATGATGGTGGGTGTACTTCAATGATGGGCAGCTGTTTGCAGTCAGGGTAGCGATGAGAATCCAATGTGAACAATGGCCACATATGGCCACACGTGACAACAGCAACAGGGCCAATGGTGTTTCTCCGGGATACAGGTTGAGGGATATAGGATGATATAGGGACATGGACCCTCCAACCACAGAAGACCACATGGACCCTCCAACCCACGTTTTTTTTTTTTTTTTCGGAACATGGTCTTCGGTGAATGGTCTTCGGTCCATGGGATCGGTTGCAGGGGTGTCACATGAGGACTTATTTAAAGATTTGATGGCCCACACGCCCGCACACGCCGGATTGGACATGACCGTTGAACTCCCCCCTCTCCGGTGATGAAGACTGGAACGAACTAGATGTCTTTTGCAAAGCAAACATTCACTCTGCCGAAGCTCATCGCATGGAAGTGAATGACATGGTCCCCGAGTTCGGAAGAGGACTTTCCTTTACGAACTAGGGGGGTGCCACGCCATCCGCTTCCGTGATGCTTCGGAGCGTCGTTTTGGTCTGTGGAGTCCACCGCGGAATCCCTTCCAAACGCCGAAGCGCTCGTGGAGTGGGGGGTGGCGGCTCGCGGAGTGGCGGCCGTACGACGTGTGGCGCTTAGGCCTGAAGAGGCCAAAGCGCCCCGGCGCCATGCGAAGGAGAAGTTGGAGGGAGTGGGACAGGCGAAACCGGAAATAGGCACTGGTTGGATCCAGACAGAATGGGACCTGTTTTGGACCAAGAAAAAGTGAGGATCCTGGACATCGAATCGATGTGATGGTGTTTGTCGTGTCGTTGCAACTTGTAGGTGTTTTTCATTGTTGTTTGTGTATGTGTGTTTCTTATTGTTTTTTTTTTGGTTTGTTCATTTGATGCACTTTTGTTTGACATGTTTAGTCCATGTTAGGTGTAGGGGACCACAAATTTCAGGAGGCTACACGGCGGCAGATGATCACTCTGTCCAGCTGGGGGGCATTTGCTAAGGCAGCAGTTTCATCAGTCCCAGAGTTGGTTTCAGGGAAATCTACTGGAAATTGGAAAGCCATAGTGTTTGGGGCCTGTAGATGTTCCCTTATAAACCAATCCATTCAATTCGCCACCGTTTTGCTTCTGTGAACTTGTCAGACCACCGCAATTTAGAGCCTTGCTTCTTCACTCTTGCTTCTTCACTAGCAGGATCACACAGAGCTGTCGCCTGATGAGAAAGCCGCTGCCTGGGGCCTTGCTCCTGAAGAGAATACAACAGGGAACCGTGCATTGGGATTGATGATGAGTATAGGTCAAGCAGGTCACCAAATCAAGCTTGGGGTTAGGAGGAACGAACCAGTATTTTGGTGTATCCGAATGAACCCATAGTCCATCATATTCTCCTTGAACGAATAAAGTTCTTGAACCGAGCGTGATCCTGGTGATGGAGCTTGTTCAGACTCCCAAAGAAGCAATGTGCTTTGACTTGCGCTAGTGTTTGAGACTTAGGACATGTTCAGAAGGTCGTCAGGTTTTGAAAAGTCGCTGGCCAAAAAATGCGCTAGCCGCGCGCTAGCACTGCGCTAGATCCGCGCTAGCAAACATTGCCACATGCCAGCAGCAATGACCCTTCCAAAGCTGACTTGCAACAAGTCTTTTGTTTCAAGCGTTGCTGGAAGAAAAGGCACAGAGTTCAGACAACTTCCTTGGAGAGCAGCTGAAAATGGTGCAACGCTAGTGACACTTCTGACAAATTGGTGCCAATACTTGTTTGGTCCATGTTTCCTTCATCAACCAGCGGTGTGTGCTAAAAGTAAAGAATATGTAGTGGGCCCCCATGTGAACACGACATTCAGCCATTTTTGGAAGAAGACATTTCTCTAGATCCCACATGCGCATTGTTTTCATGGTCCTGGTGTCAATATTACGAAAGCCAGCCTTCGTAGAAGGCGCCAGCGGAGTTGTGTTTGGCGAACGAAGTGAGTAGTTAGGGGGTCTGGGGGGGGTGGCCCGCAAAAGGTACACGTAAACTCGGCACATGCTGGGGGAGGAGGGTGCGTCGAGGGAAGGTTTTTTGAGGTTGTGTTGGAGGTGATTTTTGAGGGGTGGTGATGCAAGAAATGCAATTTGCATCATTTGCATCATCTGAATGGAAAGGTGTAGTTGGCACCTTGCCAGGTATAGAGACCCAGGGTAGCTATAGCGCAGCTACCAGGCATAGTCCTTCAAGTTCCCTTTCCGTCAACCGCTCGATAACCTCTACACACGCACAGCAACCCACAGCTTTGAAGCCTCATGCGCGCGATACCTGGGAACAGAATTGTAGCTACCGTGGGTCCGTATGAATGCTATGTTGCTATACCTCTTACACACCTATACCAGTTCAAAGCACGAATGAGACTTCATAGCTGTGGTTTGCTGTGCATG